CATCCGCAGTTCCCCTATATGCTTAGGCTTTGATGTAAGATGCAGTATTAAAATGTCCTATTTGTTTCTATTGCACTGATTAAAAAAATCAAATCGTTGTCTAAAATAAAAATACTCAAATTGAAAGACATGCAGGCACTAGTCTAAGTGCTGAGATATAACAGTGAACAAGGCTGGTCCAGTCTCTGCTTTCATGGAATTTACATTCTAATGGGCGAAAGGCGGAAAAGAAAAATGAGTCAGGCTCCCAAACTGAAACATGACTAAAAGGTCACACCCATAGGGATTTTCACTAAATAGTATAAATAGACCCGCAAAACACCCAACCCAAATCCATAAAACAAGAGATAATTCTAACAGTACTACATGGGGTGCCCATAATTTTAGGCACCCCTCCCTCTGCTCCAAATTTGCTGCATAAATGACGATAACGGCTCCCTGATTCTGGGCCAGTCGGTAGGCTGACTTAAAGAGCACACCTGACAGTGAGCCAAGAAGGAACCAAATCGAGAAGCTAAGGCAGCCCTGGCCGGCTTGGCTCAGTGGATAGAGCATCAGCCTTCGGACTGAAGGGTCCCGGGTTCGATTCCGGTCATGGGCACATGCCTGGGTTGCGGGCTTGATCCCCAGTAGGGGGTGTGCAGGAGGCAGCTGACCCATGATTCTCTCTCATCATTGGTGTTTCTATCTCTCTCTCCCTCTCCCTTCCTCTCTGAAATCAATAAATAAATATATTAAAAAAAAAAAAAAAAGAAGCTAAGGCAGTGTGAAAGCCTGGGAGAAACTACCGCCAAGAGTGCGGGGCTTTGTGAAGGTCAAACTGTTCTGCTGGCTTCACAACATCATCCAACATCCAACGAAAAGGCCAAGGCATGGGAAAGGGGTCAAGGCTTTGCTGGCTGGAGTGAGTATCTAGTTGCAACCAGAGTAGGTGGTACTTAAGGGCACTGCCCCCAACCGGCTTCTTGAGAGAATTAAGTCGCCTGGCTCAGGTTTCCACTTAGGAAGCCATTACCAATGCGTGGAAGGCCCTGCACATTTCCTCTGCAGACACTAGTGTGGGGTAATGTCCAGGATGGGGTAAAAGTAGGTTTACTGTTGTGAGCACGTGAAACCCGGTTTATTCATGTATTATTATTTATTCATGTATTATTGTCCCTGGGAACAACTGTCTACCTACGGCTGCCCCGCCCTGCATGTGTAATCTCCCGAGTGACACTGCTCTCGGGGGCTTCTTCCCCGCAGCGTCTATCACCAGATTGATATCTGGTCCAGCGCCTGGCTGATCACCAGATTGATATCTGGTCCAGCGCCTGGCTGATCACCAGATTGATATCTGGTCCAGCGCCTGGCTAATCACCAGATTGATATCTGGCCCAGCGCCCGGCCGGCTCTCTCAAACTCCCGGTGACGAAATACCGCCTAAATGAAAGAGTGCCGAGAGATGGAGAAAGAACGGCCACGCCCCTCCGGCTGGATCTCCTAAGGGCTTCCAAAAAGAGGTGCGCTACACCCCCGCCCTTCTCCGTCCAAAGGCCAAACGGCAGAGGGGAAGGGTCGCAGGTGAGGATGCTAGGCGTCAAGGTCACGGGATGCAGACAGGATCGCCGGCCAGCTCTCAAAGCCGGGGTCCCGGGCACCTCCTCCTCGTGCACCTCCTTCTCCCGGGCACACACGCGGCAGCCAGCCGCCAGCCCGCACAGCCCGCTCGGCGCGGGGAGGCCACGACGTGTGAGCTCGCAGCCCCCCAGGTAGCCAGTCAAGGGCACAC